CCTCCCTCCCCGCGGTGCACAGCCTGACGCGATTCCTTGTCATCCTCATTACTTTCTCCATCTGCCCCTCTTCAAAGGGCCTGTCCCTGTCCCAGCTTTCCCCCGCCGTCCCCAGGGCTGGGGCTGAGTCAGCCCAGCGCTGCCCTCGGCTCCCCGCGAGCCCCGGGGGAGGCTGCAGCAAGACGCAGGGCGTGCAAGGCTGCTCCGGTGACTGTACGGATGCTTTTGGCCTGGGTCACGGGGAGAGGGTGACTCGCCACGGCGTTTCTTGCTGAAGTGGCACGATTTAATAGCAGGGCAATTAGGAGGCCAAGGGGAGCGTCTCGGCGACTCCAGGCAGAGCCTCTCCAGCCGGGCTGAGGCGATGAGCAGCTGGAGGGCAGCCGGGTGGCGGAGGGCTCTGGGGTAGGAGCCGTGCCCGACCCACGCTGGGGACCGGGGGCTGCCCCAGGGCAGCTGGCAGGATCTGGGCTCGGAGGCGCGAGGAGATCCCTGCTAGAGGTTCCTCTGAGCCCTCACGCCAAGCCTTGGCTTAAAGCTGTTTCTGTTCCTGCCGCTGTCCCCGAGGATTAAGCGGGACTGGCTCTGGAGGGAAGCTGTCGGCCACCGCTCCCCGTGGAGAACCGGTGATGCCGAGCCGTGGCGGCCGGCGTACACCTGGTCGCGGTTCGGGGGGTGGCGTTGCGGCCGGGCGCTGATCCGGGCTCTCCCCTCCATCCGTCCAGGGAAGACGGTGGTGCACCAGCTCTTGGTGTCGCTGGAGGACCTCTACAACGGCACCACGCGCAAGCTGTCCCTCCAGAAGAACATCATCTGTAGGAAGTGCGGAGGTGAGCGCCGGAGGGGCCGGGTTTACGGGGTGCCCGGGGTTCCTCCCCAGCGCCGCAGCCCAGCTGCTCACCCCTCTGCCTCCCCTCGCCACAGGCTGCGGGGTGCGGGAGGGCGCCCAGAGGAGGTGCCCCAAGTGCCACGGCTCGGGCATGGAGGTTCGCATCCACCAGCTGGGGCCCAGCATGATCCAGCAGATCCAGACGGTGTGCTCCCAGTGCCAGGGCCAGGGCGAGTGGATCCGGCCTCGGGACTGCTGCCTCACCTGCAACGGCCGCAAGGTCGTGCGGGAGAAGAAGATCCTCAGCGTTCACCTGGATAAAGGTGAGACGGGGCCGCGTGGGGAGTGGGGTCACCCCCGAAATGCCCCCCCCCCAGCCCTGAGCTCTCCCCGCGCACCCCGCAGGCATGAAGGACGGGCAGAAGATCACCTTCCACGAGGAAGGGGACCAGGTTCCCGGCCTGGAGCCCGGGGACATCATCATCGTCCTGGATCAGAAGGAACACCCCGTTTTCCAACGCAGCGGTGACGACCTCATCGTCAAGAGAGAGATCAGCCTGGCAGACGCCCTGTGCGGCTGCCGACAGGTCATCCGCACCCTGGACAACAGGACCCTGCTCGTCTCCTCCCAGCCAGGTGGGGTGGGACGGGGTGGGGTGCTCCATGATACCCCTGCAAGGGAGCCTCGGGGGGGAGAAGGCGGCGTCAGGAGCCGCCAGGCGCAGTGAGGTGACACTAATCTCTGTCTCAGGTGACGTTATCCGCCCCGGGGACCTGAAGTGTATCCCCAACGAGGGGATGCCCGTCTACAGGAGCCCCTTCCAGAAGGGAAAACTCATCCTGCAGTTCCAGGTGAGGAGCCAGGCAGGAGCCGGCGTCCCCCGTCCCCTGGGTCCCCGCGTGTCCATCCCGCCCCTCCATCTCCCCTCTCCGGTCGCAGGTGAAGTTCCCTGAGCCCGGCTGGCTCCCCACCGACCGCCTGCGCCAGCTCCAGGCCTTCTTCC